CCTTCCAAAACATTTCATCAATAAAAAAAGCAACCTGGATCAGACTTGACATGTGGTAATGAAGACGTCTTCTCATCTCCCTCCCCTACTCGACACGCACCCACAAGGACAGTTTTATAGTGTTCATACACACACACACATTTCTCCTAGTCTTTGGGAGTCTTATCTCACGAGAGAAAACTTTAGAGGCCGAATTTCACATTTTCCGGGTCTGATCCTGTAGACATCGTCCTTCTGTGATCCAAATAGATCACATTTATAAATAATATCATTGGTATAAATGTTATGATTACGAATTGTTAGGGTTTTTTATAAAAAACACCGAATATTGCGACCGATTGGTTGGCACTACTGATTCTTCATACTCGGGGTGATCCCGGATTCAAATTTTGGCCCACAGACCGGCTGTACCGACCCCGTCCAGGACTTGTAATAAAAACTACTCAGTTCATAAACTATACGCTGACATTTCTTGAAACGTATTGATTTTAGATCAAATCGTCCATTATAAAACAGGGCTTTATTGTTGAATTAGATAAACAGCACGTCTCTGTATGATCATACAACACATCCTTGTTCCATTCGAAGTTTCTTAATACCTTTAAATTTTAAATGTCGCAGATTATTATTAATATTATTATTAAGTTGGTTTCGTACACTTAAAAAAAATTATAATCGTACATTGCATGGCGATAGATCTGCATCCACTTCAAATATTCGCCCCTTCTACTCGGCTCTGCCAACTGTGTAAAACAAAAAAACCCTAACAAAGCGACGATACGATACCTAATTGCAAGTGTTTCATAGTGACAATGAGCTCCATCTGGATCGTTCTCGTATAATCACGCGTACTAGACAGAGATGGAAGATATTAAGATCAACTATCGATCTCTCGCCTCGAAGATATTATGGAAGACCGATCCTACGCGACTTGGTCTTATTGTGGCTGCCCTGACGTAAATATATTTTTCACTAATTCATAAGAATCTTCTACTCCTCCCTAACATCAGCTGTTCACGTTGTATTTGTCCTTGATTAAGCCGGGTTTGTGTTTCCCAAAAACAAGTAAAGTCCTTGTACTTACCAATGAGATAAAATCCATATTCAGCTGAGAGGCTAAGAAGACAGTCACATGTATTGCACGTTAATTGTCAGTCACAACTTGTTTCGTGTTGATAGATAAATACAACGTAATGAAGTTTCTATTAAACCACAAAAAATACTGGTGACTTGTGACGGCTGTTCTGTTACATTTACGAGTATAAATATCAACGAAAATGACGTCTTGTAAGAAGTTTTGAGTGAAATTAGATTCTTTATAGACATTTGCCTTCGATAACTCCTTACTTTAAAGACGAATCTCTTAACATTCAATAATCAAAATTCTACTTTTTTATATATACACTAATTATTTATGTTGTATTGTTAGTTTAAAATCATCAGTCACGTTATTTTTAACACTATTACGTTTTTGTAATAACAGTTACTTGTTATTCTGAAGCATTTCGTCAATCGAAACAATCCAACACAGCACAGAAACTTAAAAATAAATACTTCCACCAACAATCACAGAGCACATTCCATTGAAAGTAACAATCGTGGCATTGTGACGACTAGTTGAGACGCAAGCCTCGAGCCTGCGCTCTTAGTGACTGTCAGAGAAAGAAGACAGACCAAGGGAAAGGATGATGAGATACGATGTAGAACACAACAAGAACGAGAGAGATTAAAAGGAAGAAGGCGGAGTTTTTCCTCGTCGATAACAGATGTGTGCGGGGGCCGCACAGACTACGGCCCTCTGGAAGGGGAACCGGTTAAGGAGGTGAGGGGGTTGCCATTCAGAATGTGTAGGCGCGAAAATTATCTCTGTCCCCTCCTTGACTTGTAAGAGAAAGGGAAACGGGCTCTTCAGGAATGTCACTCAAGAGATGGAGATGTAGCTTGCCACGCCACGCGTCTCGCTTTATCTCTCCTAGGATGCTGTAGCTCCAGCTTATGACGGCAATAAAAAACTCCTGCCATATTGGGACTAACACGTAACACACATATATATCACAAAGATCGACAGAATCTCGTGCACCACTAAACTGCTTAAACGATTGTCACAGGAAACAGGGATTAACCAATCGATCTATCTAATGGTGAAGTGCGGTGTTTTCTTCGAGGTACGGACTCGGTTCGTGTGTTATTCAGACGAGCTTCGGCTTCAAAGCGTTAAACAATATATTTTACGGCGTTGATTGTGTTCGAGACAGGAATGCGAAACGTATAAAATGATACGTCATTAGTTCTATTCAAAGCGTTTCTTTTGTAACGTACCGGGTGTCCCAAGAATCGCCTCATTTCTGACATATTTTCACGAGCATTTAGCCGCTCTACAAAGCCCCCCCCTCCCGTGTCCAGGGGTAGCACAGGGACTCCAACAAAACGTCCCTTTGCAGTACATGCTACTTATTTTCTTCTATTTTGATATAGCAGACTATACTACTCACCACATCGGAACGCCGATTTTCCTCAGTCCCTCCAGCGAAGGTCGTGCCTGTTCCGGCTTATTCGTCACACAATCGACTACATCCCGTAACTCAACATTCCTAAATAACACAAAAGAAAATAAACCATTGTTCTAAATCAGTAAGCATCTTTACAGCAAGCTAAACATTCTTCCCGTCCACAGACTGTATCAGTCATGTTTAAAACCATTCTCTGTGCTTTCCTGTAATTATTGCCCCGTGCATCAACACTGAGGGACTAACATTCGTGTCTGGGGGATGTCATGTTCAAATATGGGCCAGAAGGTTAGTTGACATGATCCAGGAATTCCATGGATTTTCTGTCCTATTATCTCAAAACAGGGCATGGGTTCATAAACATCCTTCATATTCAACGTTACATAACCTATACTGTTAACAGTCATCATTAAATTAACCAATGTTTATATAATCTGTAAATGGAACCATTAGCTCCAAAGTAATGTTAAATGACACAACAGAATAATTTGTAACAAAGGAAAAGTCATGATTCTATTACCACCCGAAGGAGTTGAAAGCTCTATTGTTGTTATTATTAGAATGCACGATCGCTTGAATATTTTAACACGATTGAATACAACAGACGCTTAAAATGGACGCTGTGTATAGTTCACGAAAGGCATTACAAGTTCATATGTAAACTGTGGATTACATGTTTCATAAAAACTATCTCGAGGAATGTATGGGACAGACATGCTTTATAAGGCAACACGTGCAACAATGGCATTAAATGCAACAGAGGAATCCGAAGTTGTAACAATGTGAGTCAAGATCATTGTTGCGTCCAAGGTGTCAAGGTTACTGTGATAGAGACACGTGGAACGGGCCCATATGTTGCGCTTGGTTCGCGATGAACTGTAAAGAACGCCTAATACAGCAATTTTTCTTGTGTTGTATATGAAATTCACATATTCACTGTAGTCATACATATCTTTTAAGGAAGTAATCGCTGTTTACTGTGGGAATCACACGAAACATAAATAAAAAGTGAAAGGTTTCTGATTGTTGAATCACGTGGGACATGAAATTATCACTGGGTTTTAAAGGGGTTTTTTTCCCACAGTTCCACCACTGCCCACGTTTTAGACACATGTGTTGCTGAATGAAGCTGGAAATGTTCAAGATCGTGTCCTGTTCTTTTCATTGATGTATGTCTGAAAGCGGTGGGAGGGTTCACGGTCAAGTCCACAGCTGGTTATAAATGTCTAGAGGGCCCGCCTATATTCCTCCAGATCTAAAGACAGAGGATAATACCTAGAAAAGACGAAAAATTTCCATATTTGTTTTTCATTCTGGATACACAAATAGTTGGTTAGTTTGTATTTGATATGACAGCCCAGTCATGTAGCTTTAATTTTCGGAATTCTTCCGATTTTAGAGTCAATTAACACTTGTCCTAATATTTATCATGTAAACAAGAGAGCCGAGATGCATTGTACTTCGTACCACAAATTACAGCTTGAACTCAGAAGCGACATTCCATTGTTTTGATCGGAGTCACAAAGATGGACGAGTTCACTTGGTGGAACAACGCGCAGAAGAAGACCAGGTCAGTTTGCTGAGAGCACCATCTGGTGTAAAATTGTTGAAGTTGGCGATTCTTATCTTACGTCTTTTTTCACTATTGATTACCCACCCCACGCCAACGGCTCTCTTGCGCATGAACAGACTCACGCCATGTCTCGTGAAAGAAGCTATACAGTAGCTCGGAACAAACTGTGCGTTTCGCATACGTCACGAGCTTGTGAGTAGACGGAAAACATGCATATACTATGTAAACCGAAAACATTACGGACATTGAAACTGAGACAGCGGGGTAAGAAGTATTACTGCAGGGAAACAAAGTTTATAGCATACTTCGTTCTCTGCTACGCCTTCCACCCGCTCTGATCAGTACGCTTTTTATTTCTAGCGGTTGTAGAACGCACAGATTCACCCTGACTACTGTACTTCGTGTTAGTTTTCAGGCTTCCTCGAAATTCAGAGTAAATGCGTAAAAAACACAACCAGTTTCGCAGAATTTTAAACAAAACCAGAAGGCACTTACACAAAAAATGCACATTTTCCGTCTTTTGCCAAATAACAAGACTTCTCCTGTCATCGTGGACTTATGGGACACTCTGTATATCTCGCTCATATAAAAAAAATGTTCCATCAAAGTAACGCGATGCAATTTAATTTATTTTTTTGTATAATGTAACTCTCGACATGTTTCGGTTTTTAAGGGGCCAGCATCAGGGACACTCTGTCAATATTTTTCAGCAACATTCGAGATTATTCCTCCGACATCCTTTAGACCATATCAGTTATATACATCAACATAGTACAAATATTGTCACATCGATAAGTTGTGTTTATGTTAAGTTAAAGGATCGTTTAAGTTTCAACATGCAGTATATCATTCTATGAGATATTTATTTATAGCGTGCAAGATCGCGTTGGTCTGAACGCTTAGTTCGGACGGAGGAAACATTAAACGTACATAGAATTTCGATAAGAAAACCTCTTGATAAGCGGCCAAGCTTAAAATGTAACAATATTGACAGTTATCTGAGGAGAAACAGCTGATACAAAGCAGACTATATTCAACCTGAACAATGGCTAGATTTTTTCCCCCATCTCAGAGAGAATTTATTATAAAGCAGACTATATTCAACCTGAACAGAATCCAATGGCTAGATTTTTTTCCCCCATCTCAGAGAGAATTTAAGAAATATTTCCCCAAGTTCCATCCGCTAACACGACTTGTAAGGTCACCCCACATCCTGTTGAAAGTCAAGTAGTGGTGTGGCCATGTTACAATTGGCCACTTGGCCACTTGGATAGTTCGGATGCTTCGCCATTACAGACAGAATGAGTCATGTGTGAGTTGTGTTTGTCAATTGGACGGTCCAAAGTATTTTCCCTTGTTCATAAATACTTTCGAGGTTAAGTTGACTACTTTTTAATTTCCGTATCAGGGATGAGAAAAATTCATCCCGCTTAAAACCGAATTCGTCCATCGTTTATATTTGGATATTATTAAATAACATTGAAATAACTTAACTGACGCCATGAAACAGCGTTCCAGTTTTCGGTTTCTGGAACTGAAGATTAATTTTAAAGAGAAAATAAAGATGATTTTTTTTTAAAATTGACTTTAATATTGTGATCCGAATTAGGACTAGATTTCTCTATAAGCTTATTCCGTTATGTATATATCATTAGATTATAAAGATTATTTCTTTTCGCGATTATATACTGATAATTTAAAATAACTTAAACAGTCAAAACTCACTCATTACATAAAATCCACTGGTACGTAAAGACTCCTCACCTAAAACGCGCAGCCCACAGGAAAGAATTCGTACCTGAAGTGAATGATGATTGGTCGAATACGTCTGCGTAAGTTACTTCGAGAACTACACTTAAAAATCATATCCGATACCCGAGTAATTGTCCATCCCTGTTCAACTCAGTACGCAATAGTTCTGAGAACTGTGACGGTCGCAGAAACGATTATCGTCTTAAGAAATTCAACGTGTTGTTAGTAGCAGATAGTCACAGATACGTTAGTATATTTTATCCTTTCAATGGACGTGGTGACTTGAAGGAGCTTTGCGGTGTGACGAAGACTCACTTATGACTTAAGTGAGTATGGTTGCAGTTTCGTAACACCGGAAAAATGAATAATAGCCTCTTCTGAGAGAGAGAAAAAAGTATCTCTGTAATTTGCTATAACTGTACTTTTCTAGTCTCCTTCATGACAAAACTTCCAGGCGTATTAAATCACTAGTTTCTGATACTTCACGAGATGTACAAGGATGTGTTTTATCATCGCATCGCTTCGTTTTTCTATAAATAAGCAGAAACGTCGTACAGTTGTTAGGTTTTCGGGTCCCTGCGTTATTGGTGTTTCCTGTCATAAAGATAGTAGCGTTGTTATGCTAGGGAAATCACATCATTGAAATGTAATTCGAATGGGCGAGATATAAAATTGATACAGAATTTTGGTGCAGAAACTTTTTGGTCAGTGACTGCTTTCGGAGACCGAGACGATGGAAGAAAAACATTTAAACTAATAAGATAGTATAATTTCGTCATATTGTGAATCAAATATTAAATTAATTATTCGGTTTTGTCCGTCTAATCACAATTATATTTAAAATTTACAAATAAGATAATTAAAATATCATCTTATGTTCCACATCGAATAATCGATTTACATTTGGAACATTTTTTTACAACATGTTTCGGTTTCATCGAACCATCTTCAGGTGTAAAATTATATTAATAAACTTAAAACTCAATTACAACTTCTAGACACCTCCAGACACATCAACGTGTCTACACTCTCATCTTTGGCCGATGTAGAACATCAAAAGCATTCACTTCAAAACAATACATTCGCTCCAATATGTGAAAATAATATGGATATGAACATCTCCAAAAAGCTACACAACAGAAATTGTAATTGAGTTTTAAGTTTGTTGATATAATTTTACACCTGAAGACGGTTCGATGAAACCGAAACATGTTGTAAAAAATGTTCCAAATGTAAATCGATTATTCGATGTGGAACATAAGATGATATTTTAATTATCTTATTTGTAAATTTTAAATATAATTGTGATTAGACGGACAAAACCGAATAATTAATTTAATATTAAAACTAATCTTAAGAAAATGGGACGTGAAGTTGATTGAACTGTTTAAGAATTAATTCTGTATATTCGTGAACCTTAGTAATCACGACATCTAACCTTTTGGTTCTGGAATCAATGTTGTTATTTGTAGACTACGTGAAGTGTTGACATTACGAGATAACGAACATTTTTGTGCCGCTGTGATAAAATTCCATCTACGTCCATATATTGGCGTATTAATCTGGCAGCAACTTAATAAAGTTCATTTAATAATAAAAAAAAGACAAGTCACGCCTGCTGATACTTAAAATACCACATATATTTTATTTGAATTTTATTTCGTAGTCGTTTTTATCAGGTTGACAGGTTTGTAACATTCCGTCCTCTTAAAATAAATACCATTCCCTTTTGCATCACCTTGAAAATTGGTATCCTATTACCTGAATGTTTTATAAACTCGGCTGAGGCTGGTACATACTATATCTGCATATCAAAACACCTCTACACCCAAACTCTGCACAAACCTGTTCTGTAAGCACGGCCTTCCACAGCTGCCATTGGCCATATATGGTATAGGAACGCACGTGTTTCAGCCTGGAGGTTAGAAGGGTGTGTTCTCGATTCCATCCTACGAGGGCGGCAGCTTCTGGACGGAACGAAGGGCAAGGAGGAGGCAGGGGGTATCAGAACAAATAATAAGACCTCAAACAAAAATTGACTCCATCCATGTGGTATTCTTAGCACAGCTTTCATTGACTGCAAGTATTGGAATGCTACTGTATGTTTCTTGAAAAATACACCCAAGTCGATTTTATGCGAATATTTTCTACAAGCTTTTTTTTTTAATGACCAAGGACAAACGAACAAAGCCGAATGTATCTATGAAAAGAGAACTCCATGGTCCCTAATAACAGTCGATCAGTCAAGAAAGTCCCCACCATATATAGAACGTTGAGTTTTCATTACTTTCGCCCTAACCTGAGACAAACTAATCCATTCAGTACGTATATTTGTTTGTTTTCTTTTCAACACGTATTCCAATTGATGTAGCACTTAAGGGTTGTGGAGCACAAGATTTTCATACCTGAAACTTGCTTATTCACAGAGATCTCACCAAGGGATTTGTATTCGGGAGACCCCGGGTTCATATCTCGTTCTTGAGACCGGCGATCATAATTTTGGTTTTCCCCACTACCTGCAGTCAAATGCCGGAATAGTATCTCAAATAGCCCATAGCCTGAACTACTGATTGCGTCGTTAAATTAACCACAAAGTAAATAAATAATTACGTAACTGGCGAGAATCTCTGATTAGGTTCAAAACTCTCAGACGCTCCTGATGGCGAAAATTGCGACATTTATATTAATGTGAATTTAAACCCTTTGAAGTCTTAGTTCGTTTAAATAATATTTAAGAGTTCAGTCCGTACCGCGAAGAAAACACCACATTTCATCATTACGAAGATCAACTGGTTAACGCTGTTTAAGGAAATAATCTCTGTTTATAGCGAGAATCAATGGAAGCATTCAATTAATAAATGAAGTGTTATTGATTGTAAAAGCAGGTGGGATATAAAATCAATCAAAGTATTAAACATGTCTGCATTTTGTGTCACATATTATGTAGTGGTTAAGTCAACAACAGAAAATATGCATACGAATTGGCAGTCATGTCTGTTAGTTTCAAGCACTTAAAGACCTATTAAGGTCGATACATGTAAACATTGAAACTGTTGTGTAGATTGACTATCGACCTGACGTCCGACACACAACATTGGTGCATCCTTTAGAACTCACTTTTTTGAGAAGCTGATGTTTGCTCAGCTGATCAAGAAATTCCCAGCCTTTAATGGGAACCTAAGCTTCATTACAATACATTCTCAGAATCATATCCTGAGGTCAACAAATTTATAACCACACAGCGGCATTTTAAATATCAATACTTCAAAAATATGGCGTCACAACAAAGTGGCTGATAATAAAGATTTAAATTATGAAGCAGTAAATTGAGGATTATTTGTGTTAAGTCTGTGATTGTACATTCGTCTATGTGGGTTTTACTGGAAGACCTGTCCTTTTAGAGTTTATCTCGTCTGCAAATGAGCTTCTCAATGCAAAAGTGCTACATGTCACTCCATATACGAAAAGCAAGGCAATGGAGAATATCATTTATCAATAACTTAGTACGTCATATTTTTACAGTCTGCTTGCAGGAAGAAATATGAGTTACATTTTTAAATCTTTTATATTAATTATATTTTATGCTCTACAACCTTGACAGTTATGGTCAAACGATGAAGTCACGATCGATACACCCATCTACATATAATAATGATGTAAATCTTAGCTTGTGAGTAGGTGTGCTAAGACTTAGCAGAAACCCACGATTTTGAAGATAAAACATTGTTTTGAGTTAACGTCTTTAAAGTTCGGGGTTAAAGTAAAAATGTAGTTTATTAATTTTTACGTTAAACATTAAGAAACTGAATTTTTATTAAAATATATAATATAATTCAGGTCTATACACAAACTTTATTTACAGATGTTAAAATTTAAAATTTGCGCTATTCATCGTTACTACGATGTTACAATACTGCGCCTTCATTTACTACATGTTTCGATGCGTAGCATCATCTTCAGGTTTTTCCTTTAAAACTACTTTATATTACAATGCAAGTTTTTCACCAGCATCTACGTAGTTCAAGGCACATAGAATCTTACGCTGAGTTAATTCTGTGGTTCCAGGTTTAATTTCTACCCAGGGAAAGAATATTTATGTCCATTTTTCACTGTTGCCTTATCTTGTCGGACAATTCGGGGACTCTGTTATGGGCCGTTTCTTCATGCATGGGTTTAGGATACCAGGATGTGATTTTCAGTATTGACGGAACACATGAAATCTGGAAAAAGAATTTTTTTAAAATATTTAAAAACATATAATTGGTATTTAACGGCACTCCAGGCTCGTAAAGAGACAGACTGAAACTATAAACGATGGTTCGGGCACTCCAGCCTCGTAGAGGGACAGACTGAAACTATAAACGATGGTTCTTGACGTAAGTTAAGAGAAGGAGATGGGTAGGTTCTGAAAACTTCCACGTAGAAATATTAAGAATCTTCAAAGAAGTTTCTAACCAGACATTAACTCAAATGTAGTGTTGTCTCTCACCTAAAAGCCACAGACAGAACAATTTTTATTTTTCAGCTTTAAAAAAACATCGTAAAACACTTAAACCAGAAAAGGAAAATCGTGGAAAAGTCTTTATGACCACAACATTCTTCTAGGTCGCGATGGGGGTCGACGTTTCTCTGAAATGCCAATTACCTGTGAGTGTCCGTGGCATCACAGCTCAGAAAAATTACGTCATCTTCGCTGATGCGAGAACCTCAAATATGACACGTGTTTATTGTGTCGAGTCGAAATAAAATGGTACTGTAACGAAACTGTAAAGATATCTTCAATTAAAATTAATAAAATAGAGTTTAGATTAATCCTAATATTGCCACAACTGCTAACAAAATGACGTACGAACGCACGAACAGGACATCTGAAGTCAGCGTAATTATATTTACGAAAATTAACAATGAAATTAACTGTCGATACAAATTACGTGAACGGTGGTACCTGGAGAAATACGTACTGAAGAATCAGCGATTAATAATAGTCGTGGCTTTTATATTCAGAAGTTGTAAAACCTTTCCATCTTCCCACTAAAACCCACGGGTACATTAAACATGTTCTCTACATTGGAAATTTTATAAACCGTACAAAGAATTATCATGTAATGATCCCAGTTTGGAATGAGTCATATATAATCACGTATTGACTCGTTCCTCACGTACATGGAAGTTAATTACACAAAACTGAACTATTATAAAGCGTAATTCGTATATAGGAACCACGGAAAACCACGATCAGAACAGCTATTTATAGTTGGTACTCAAATCTACGCATCCAAGAGCAGAGAATATTCTACAAGCAGATGGAATGAAGTCTACTTAGAGATTAAAATACTGTTTATAGACACCCATCCTCCTCAGATTCCGAAGTATTCAAATACAAACACCTCATTATAAAAGCGGAGTATGAACAGGTTTGTCCGGGCCTACTTGCATGAACCACTTCTGTTAATACAACTGATTTAACTGCTGTTCAGTTTTCGTGGAACAAGGCTCTAACTTCATTCAAGTCTTCTCTCTTCCTTTCAGCGTATTAAAAATATTTAAAAAGTTACTTAAAAAAATTACGTATTCAAGAGATGACGAAGGGCAAGTGGAAATGAAACATTTATGGAAACGTAAACATTTTATAAGTAATCAAACTTTACAATGAAGTTCTTTAATAAGGATTAAGATAATTAACGTCTCTTATCAGTTTTTTTAAAAATAAAATGTGCAAAACTGCTAATAAGTTTTTTAAATGCAAGGGTTGGAATTTCCAGAAGAGAGAGAGTGAGGAACGAAAGGATTAGAGAAATCATGAGGGTGGATCGAGATATAATAGAGGAGATAGAGACGTGCAAAGGATGGAGGAGGAAAGGTTACCAAAAGAGAGGAAGACCGAGACCAGGATGGAACGACGGAATTACAAGAATAATGATAGAGTGGAGACTACCTCAGGAAGGATGGGAAATAGAGAAGAAAGGAAGAAAATATTAGGCACCGGAAGACCGAAGAAACGGAAGAAGAAGAAGAAGAAATGCAGAAAGAACAAACCTTTTCTGTGATAGTCTGCATCGCTGTTTCACGATTCTAACTTCTGTAATATTGGACTGCTTGAATAAGTTGGTTGTGCTTGGCTGGTGCAGTTAAAAACTTGGAAACAACTTTCCTTATTGAGTTGTTAAAAGTGACTCCACCTTAATCTCATGCCCATACGGCAGGATGCTGCTCTGATCCGCTTTCCAAAGCAACGCCCACCCTACAACTGCCCACTTTTCTCATTTCATTTCATTCGCAAGAAGATTCTCACGACGTCCACAGAGGCATCAAAAGGACGCCTGGTTTCGTGGCGTTTAATGGCCTCGTGCTGATGTCAGGAGGACCGAAATACAACATCTCCGGAGCAGGTTCATGAACGAGTACGCCACAGAACATCAGCGGTCTTCAAAAAGTCAACTAAAAACGTAGTCTGAAGGAAGCGTTCTGTCTAGCAGAAACTTCGAAATGTACCAAAGACAAAATGGACAGAAGACGTAGTGATATCCTCCGAAAAATACGTTTAAATAAAACTTTTTATACGACTCCATTCACTTCTGGAATCAAATATTATTTCTGTTCTGCATTTTATTTAATACGGGGGAAGGGGGGGGGGAGATCAAAGGGTTCAACCTCTTCCCCTCTGAAATGTCTTCGCAGAAGATTTAGCTGAAAATAAAACTCTAAAGCTAGATCTAAAATGCAAACACTTACGAACAAAATAGAATAAAATACGATTATTTTAGATTCTCTGAAATACTCACTGACGACATTCACTCGAGAGCTATGCTGGCGGTAGCACGGCTACCGGTAGGGCCTCCCTCGCCAGATTGGTCGAGGGGGAGAGGTACCCTGGTCCTCCAGGTTGGGGGTTGGTCGCAAGGCTAACAACCTTGCACCGTAAAAAGGAAGACGTTTCGAAACCTCGATCAAAGCCTCGGACAGACGGACGTAACAGAGGACCGAATGGAAGAGGAGAATTGAGGAGGCCATGGACCAAATACGGACCGGAGAGACATAGGAGAAGGAGGAGGAGGAGGAGGAGGAGAAGAATGTGATTCACTTACTCACTGCTACCATTTTTTTTAATTTCTGTACGTCATGTCCAGTAACCAGAAAATATTATCGTAATAAAATCAAATTACCGACCGAACTGAGGAAAATAACAGGTCCTAAAAAGGAGGAACTAAGAAGTGACTGGATAAAACTGTAACGAGGAGCTTCACAATTTGTATTCTCTGCCACATACCAAGAAATACAAAACGGGCAGAAATTTAGGTATAAGAAATGTATGCAGAATTTTCATCAGGAAACCTTAACAGTAGATATTTTCATGCGCTGATACGATCCGAGGTCATTGGCGCGCATGTTCCTACAACGACCTCTTCCCACTTTTATGGAATAATCGGAACCGGGGAACCGCCGTCGCCCACACCTAAGAAAAAAATGACAGGCAGAGACGTGGATGGGCCCACGAGGTATTCGTTGCTCGAGTTACGGCGTGAACACTTAGACGGGGCATGAGGATGTGGATTGGATTAATCTAATTCTGGATAGGGGCGAGTGGTGCAGCGGATGGGATCCTGTGAATTTAGTAACGAACCTCCGCACTCCACAAAACACGGGAGAATTAACCGAGTGATCACTCGATTTAATTACAGTCTCTATAATTAGCTAAGTGCTACAGGTTGTCGCTATTTATTATGAGAATAATACAAAATCTCTCTCCATCTCAACATTTTTGGTGCTGACAGGCGTCCGTCTGTTAATTACGAAGCCAAGTCAGCTGACAGCGTCCTTGAGATCTGCCCACACATTCAACATCCTCTTGTCGTTAATATTTTAATTACTACATCATTTGACAGAAAAACACCAAATAAGGGAAAGTTGGATTAAAAAATGGCATATGGAAAGAACAAATTAAATAAGAACTTTCGGAAATTATTGCAAGTGGATATTTACCGCGCAAGTCCGTCCTCTTTCGTAGCCTAGAAGAGAGGGAGAACAGCGGTGAGAGTGCGGAGGGAATTACCGAAAACAAAATCGAGCTAATGCCGGGGGGATTGCAAAGCAGTCGACCAACTCCGCGGAGAGAAAAGTCCCTGAGATTCTGATAAATGCTAATGTTAATATTCTGCAATAAATACAAATTGCGAAGGACAAAATTACTGAAAATTCTAAATTTAAATAAACGTGTTTATTATTTGTTTCAGAAGACAAGACGACTCTCGGAACAACAAAAAAATTAAGTTGAGAATAATGGAAATGGATTTCCTAAGAGCGGCTGGAATTTCCAGAAGAGAGAGAGAGTGAGGAACGAAAGGATTAGAGAAATCATGAGATAGAGAAAAGATGATTGATTTGGTACGGACACGTGCAAAGGATGGAGGAGGAAAGGTTACCAAAAGAGAGGAAGACCGAGACCAGGATGGAACGACAGAATTACAAGAATAATGAAAGAGTGGAGACTACCTCAGGAAGGAAGAAAATATTAGGCACCGGAAGACCGAAGAAACAGAAGAAGAAGACAAGAATAGCCCCTAAATTTTTAAATAAAACTGGAGGTTCTGCAATAAGACTGTACATTATCGACGTTACTATTTCATCATTACATTAAATTATTAGACAGTTATAAATATTTAAGTGATAAAACAACAGAGAGAGAAATATTTGAACAGAATCCTGAAACTTGCCTGAAATTATGAAGCTGAAGGAAGAAACGTCGACAGACTGAAGAACGCCTGATGAAATACACGGAGATGGAACGTCTTAATCCAGAAAGATGACATCAGGCAGCCATATCCAGCATGTTATTGAGCGACACGGGGTTCCACATCGTGCCACTGTCACTCACAAACACGACACTTCTGTCAATATAGATCTGTATTTTACCACAGCGATATATTTGCTTCCCTTCGCGGTATCGGTTAGGCAACGGCATGAACAGGATGCCTCTCTCCTCACAACGCTTCTGAATTAACTCTTTGAAACCCTGTGGAATCTGACTTGCCGTTCGAACAGCTTCGGCGAGCATCTGCAATGTAAAAAGAAATATTAATGGCACCTGCACCTTGTCGTGGTGGCGGGGCTTGACCCCAAGGGCTACTGGTACGGCCTCCGTAGCCAGATTGGTCGAGGGGGAGAGGTACCCTGGTCCTCCAGGTTCGGGGTTGGTCGCAAGGCTAACAACCTTGCACCGTAAAAAGGAAGATGTTTCGAAACCTCGATCAAAGCCTCGGACAGACGGACCTAACAGAGGACCGAATGGAAGAGGAGAATCGAGGAGGCCACGGGCCGAATGCGGACCGGAGAGCCATAGAAGAAGAAGAATAATCCAAATAAAAACATTCTGCAACATGCTGGTTTAATGAAGCGCGGAGTTAGTGACGGGAGACGGCATAATGAGGAGCTCCATAATTTGCATTCCACCAAACAGCTCGTTTTCTCATTCAGGTAAAATACAGACAAGGAGAGAAATCATCTGATCAGTCAGGTCCATTTAACGAATTCAATCCTTGAATGTTAGGTTGCGCTGTGTGGCCTTCGTAGTTGGCCAGTTTCTACCAGACTACACAGCGCAATATCCCAGAAAATATCCAACTTCATACTCGTCGCCACGAGAAATTTAAATATCAGCCAGACCTTGTTACTGTGCTAATAAAATTTAAATGTAGACTTAATCTCAACCCCAGACAACAGGTAATGACCAGAGGAAGTCCTTACACAAGTTTCCAACATATTTCTAGGTAGATATTCACCTCGTATCTTGTTTCTCTCGCCCTCTGGGCTGGGGGTGGTGTCGCAGAAGACGTCTGTTCTAGGTTGGTAAGATACGACACCGATTCAACTGCACCTGGTTGGTGTGCCATTGATTGGCCTGGTGCCGTTACAGCACGGTTCATCAGGTCCAGAGCTTTGCGGAACTGTTCTGTACACAAAAGCAGTCACGACTGTCTTACCTTAATTTACATTTAATTTAATTTAAAATATACGCCACATTTATTTTACTGAGACAAGAATTCTTACCACTGATTTAATTCAAAATTTGGATTGTGGGAGGGGGATGTACATCTTGTATCAACATATGAAGAAATATCTGCGCATACAAGATTTATTGCTGTCATTCTCAAATTGTAAAATTCTGCCACATTTTCAAAGAATTTATTAGCTGTGTAAGATTTGAGATTTTCACGGCGGTGAGGATGAAGATTTCTGTCTTCTGGGTTGTTGGCACATTCATCGCCCTGATGACGGAGGCAGTATGACCTTCGAAACGTTGGTAAACATCTACCAGACTACACAGCGCAACAACCCAGAAGACAGAAATCTCCATACTCTGATGACGGAGGCAGTATGACCTCTGAAACGTTGGTAAACATCGACCAGACTACACAGCGCAACAACCCAGAAGACAGAAATCTTCAATTTATTAGCTATTTTTATACAATAATTTTGTCTCTAGTACCTGATCAGTAATTGATCTCTACAATTCTTTAACAGTTACTCAGATTACCGATTAATCAGAACATAATCTACGTAAATTGCAATTAAACTGAGAAATGTACTGTATTTGAACAAACCTTTGACTGCGGGTTGGACCAGCAGTGGCTCGGAAACCATGCCCTTCCAGCCGACGTACCAGTTCGTAATCTCATCGTAGTTCGGCGCGTGGTTCAGCCACATAGTGAGTATCTGCAGCCATTTTGGGAAGAAGTATCTTTCAAGCAGTGACGCCAAAGTGTGTACTGGTAACAAATCCTGCCAGTCCATTACCCAGTTCCACTGCTCTGTATATAATAACAAAATTAAATTACGTGAGACTGCAGTTTCTCATGGCAGGAAGTATGAAGATTGTGTGACTGCCCTGATGATGTCGGTCTACTTCTACGATATGACACAATATAACATTCCAGGATGTAGTCATCTTCAAAAATCATTAAATTATATACTCTATTACCATACTGACTGATATGCAAGTGTAACAAGCACATAAACCCTCACAGTTTGCTGTAAAGTTGAGAAAAAAATATTCCGCTAGGTACATCACATATTGCATTCTCACACACAAAAGAAATATTTTGTTAACAGGGTCTGAAATGAGAACAGCTTCCACCTATAGACAGGAAGGAACATCACAGTACAGCGTCATAATGAAATATACATCCTAAATCTGACAAAACCATCTAACGGTGTTTCTTCCTTCGCGCGTAGACTTCTGATGTAATTGCTACACGCTAAATGGCCTGTTACAAGAACATATATATGCTCAATATCACAAATTTCTGACAGAGAGAAATGAATTACGTCATCTTATTCCCGAAGCCTTCATTCTCACCTAGATGTTGTTGATGTGGATTTATAACCAGCTCTTGCAGGGCAAGTTGTAGTTTTGGTACTATATTCTTGACAAGAAATGCGTCCATGTCACCTCGTGAGAATACTCCATGCCAGGGCACAAGCATCAGTTTGGCGGATCTGTCGGATGGATGCCAGCTGACGAGCGCCTTGCTAAGCTTGTGGCGAATCACTGGATACACAGTTGTCTCTAGGCGGTTTCCTATATCAGAACATGCTGTGAGAGCTTCTTCATACGCATGATCAGAATTATAGAAATAAACATTTGATACGGGGCGTGCGAAATCAATTATTTTAATAATTTTTACGATAAGCAAGACTAGATTCAAAACAGAATATGCCATTCTAAGGATCATGTGTAACACGGGTCGTGGTGAGTGTCGGATAATTACGTGAAATACTACAAAGAAATGTGATGACTGAGAAGAAAAAGTGTCCCTTATACAAGGACAAGAGACTGAACACGCTACGTTCATGTTGCGCTGAGGTTAATAGGTAAAGAATTCACAATGGTAGGTGCATGTTAACTAATGCAGTCGTCTTTGTTAGTTTGTAAGTTATTACAGATCACTGTGGTACAATTCATGTTACCATGAAATGTTTAATTTATGCACACACCACAGATTATATAACTTAAATTCTTATCCTAAATAATGAGTTATGTACCGATGTCAACTGATTGTAATGTAAGTTTACCCTAATGAAATTTTTATAACTGTAAAAGAATCAAATAATCATAGGCGCAATCCTCAAAAGTCAATTCTAATTCAGATCCAAAGGATTTACTAAAAAGTCACTTACTTAAAGGAATTGTAATAACTTTCACAAAAATCACAGAAAAAGAACAGAAACCAAAAAAAAAAAACCCCCACAAAAGTCACAAATTTTTCAATTACTACTGAACAAGCAGATGAAAGATGTGAAGAAACATACCGAGCAATGGCAACCAGGGATGAATCCACGCATGGATGGGCACAGTGTCCGTCATGGGGTTCCACTCTTCCACCTCATGCTGAATTCGGGGCAGAACGAACTGGTCACGAACATTGTCCAGCACCCACGGGGGAACCAACGGAAGCCACAGTTCCAGAAATTCAATAAGTGGTTCACAAGTTCGACAGTTCCAAGTGCTGCAAAAAGAATGAATTTGTAATCTAACAAAAAATGGCCGCTGTTACTTAAAGGACATAAATTCCAGGAGATATGAAAAAAAAATGGAAAGAGACTGTGTGCTGTAGTGTCATTGTACTTTGTGTTTTCAAAACTAAATTTGTTTACACAGACACGTAATCTGGGTTTTTCATATAATTCACTACACAGGACTTTTCAACTATAAAATAGACCACATTTTCCTGACTACAAGACAAGGCTATTTTATTTTCATTGCAAAATGAGGGGTCACCTTACACTGTAGAGTGAAATCCAAACCTTCTATTTCTTTATTTTTGCAAGATCCATTTTAACATCCTTCTCACGTCTACTTTTGATCAGTACTTTTTCCTTTATGTCCACTCATCCTCTTACTTCCCTAATATACATTTTACTATTTCAAGATTATCTTTCAGAAACTTTATTCAGTGTGAGATCGCTATTATTAAAACTTGCAGAAGTATTTTAAATTTATGTATAGATGACTACGGACTTCAGCAGCAGCAAGTACCTCTGAAACATCGGTAATTTCTACCAGATTATGTGACACTACAACCCAGAAGACAACCATCTTCAAACTCACAACATAAGAATCTCAAATCCTGCAACCAGAACAAAGGATCGTATTACGTACTTGATGGCTGTTCTAACGCTGGGCATCCAGGCCTGCCATATTAAGCGATAGTATGGATCTTGTGTTGATATATTGGTAAGTGTGTGAAGCTGTCCATCTTCAAGGATGTCCTTCCACTGTTTGAATAATGCCATTGGCTCCTGAGGATTTTCAAGTGGTGACCATTTGTTAAGTTGATCCTTCAAAAGCGGCCCAACAAGTTTTGATGCCAAGTCACTCAGCTCATAGAGACGATATTCCTCGTAGTATTTTTCCTGTCACACGCAAAGACCTTCGTTGGAATGACTTTCATGAAGACAATAAAAATCTCCATTAAACAAGAATACATATATGCAAACAGAAATGTATTTTATTGGAATGCCAGAAATAAAAATGTGATGCTACGGAACACGCTTGAAATGTTCACCACATTCAACTTGAATAAACATTATTTTAAGAAGACACCCAGACAAAATTCGGAATTGTATAAATCACTGTATGTATTAAAAAATTAACTGGTTTTAAATTATTTCCGAATTCTTACCTGCAATTCCCTGAAGGTTTCCGCAGCTTTGTCTACTCTGAGTGGATCAGTCTTGTCATTACTTTGGTCAATCAATTTCTGGACTGTACTGAGCACGGTGTCCAGTGTCGTTATATGTCGAGTCTGTTGTTCAACCACCTTGCTCAGCGAAAACTCCTCCTGCTCCAGCATGATGATGCGGTCACTAGCATACCTCAACTTGCGATCATTCTGTATGATATCCTGCAGAAATATTGTTATGAGGGATAAACATTCGCGAAGAATTTTATGGAACCCAAAGACTCAATACATTGCCAACAACAGCGTGTGACTGGACTCCTTCCTGAGCCAACTGAATCCAGCCCACACTCACACACCCTGCTTAAGGTCCATTTTACTACTGTCTTTCCATCTATGCTTAGGTCTCCCAAGTGGTCTCTTTAGGATTTCTGATTAAAATTGTGTGTGCATTTCTCATCTTCTCACTCATAATACATGCCCTCCCAAAAATTATATTGAATTGGGTGAAACTCAGACAGACAGACACAGAGGCAGGCGCACGCACTACCAGGACTCACTTCATCATTGAAAGAAACACTTCAGAATATCGAGGAAATGCCTTTATGAAGCATAAGTCACATGATGCATACCTGCTCACACATGTTCATCAGGAGATTGAGGTTGTGCTGTAGCTTGGGTAAAGCAAAATTGACGAACTTCTTGTCTTTCCGGAGTTCCCACTCATCTGCGGGGCGCTGTTGTCCGGCAATAGCATGATAGCCACTCAGCACCCTCTGTTGTGGACCGGTCATGTCAATCACTTTTACTTTGCTCAAATGGCTGCAAATATACATAAATAACACCCTTTTACATTAGTGTGACCACTAATCTTTATCTGGTGTGGAACTGTGGACTGTACTGAACTTCTCTGCATCTCTGATATGGCTTCAAGGCACGAGATTTATTTGGCACGACGACAACTATATATTTAATGTTATATATTTTCTGAAATTTTTAAAAAATCTTAAGAACCAGAAATATATTTTAAAAGTATTTTATCTTTCTTACCTGTACTCTTTCCTGGTATTTCCATACGTTTTGCCTTGTTCTAACACATCATCGACACTCTTATACACGTAACAAACTTTCTTTTTCTTGTTACTAACATCGCCCTTTCTCCACTGGGACAATTTTTTTACAAATTCTTTTGCTTCCTCTTCCTCTGAGTCTGCTTGGACATCAGCCACTCTCTGAATTTTCTCTGGACCATACGCACCTGTCATATAACAGCAGCGTTAGCATACCAAGCACGACGCGAAGCATTCATAAAGGTGGCGACTGACTTGTAACATTTACTCGTAATGTAACATTCGCGGCGAGCATGTTACATTACACCACAACTGGTGAGGCGTATCGAATGCTCGGCTCGACTGTGCTCATGTGTGCTCCATTCATTTCATTCAATATGTCGGACGTGGAGGTTGTGTTATCTTTGTTCCATTTAATACGCTACTCTTATCTAAAGAACTCGTGAATGCTCGTTACGACGCCGCTCGACTGACTGACTGACTTGTAATGTAACACTCAAAGGGATTCGCGAAAAAACCGACAACACGATGGAGCCTACACAAAGAAAATAATTCACATTTCACACGAAGAAAATGACATTATTTTAGACAGTGAATTAAATTTTAGTGCCACCGGTGGTAATGTTCAGGATGATAGTGGTAATGACAGCAAAAGGGAGGTTACAATACCAATGGGATCAAGGACGTACGCCACATTATGGCACTCTGAAAAAAAATTCCCATAAAATAATAAGGCATATTTAAAGCAATAAAGAGATTAGTGATCAGTAGTGACCGTCAACACAAAATTATTCATACCTATTGCTCCTCTTCCTTTCCTTAGGTGAGCTTCAACAGGTGCTGCAATACCCTGAAGATCTTTACCCAGACCTTTTCCAGGTTGGAAGCCCATCTGTAAAAATCATGCAACCACACTGAATACACAAATAACCTAAAAAACAATGAAGACGACGATGACGATAAAAAGGTAAATTTGTTTCTCACTCATTAAGCATCAAGCTATGAAGAAGATGGGGTAGTGGAGGAAAAGCTCCTCTCTTTTTTTTTTGATCTAGGTACTATATGGAGGTGAGTGGTCAGATTCATGCCATGGCCACTTTACTTCCAGGGTAAAGGCCCTCAGTAACCATTGCATGTTAGGTTGGGTGGGCCAGAGAACTGGTCTGGACACGTGGGTTCTGCCAGTGAAGAAGAAGTACACAATGACCTTGCCATGATGAAGCCAAATGGGATTTAGACAGTACTACAATGATCCCTTTTCAACGAATTACCTATATTTTAAGGGGCCGTATGGATCTGCATAACACCAAGCTTAACTCACATCACAGGAGGGGTATAATCAGAACAATGAAGTGATTACAGTAATAGCTCAGAATATAACCCACTTGACGAACATGTTTTTAAAATACCTGAAGCAAAAGTTTGGCACCAATGCCACGAGTATGTTTCTCCCAACTTCCCACCCCCTTATTCAGAAGTGACGGGTTTAAAATGGGACGCTTCTTCCGCAGGCCAGCTATTTCACCATCGAGGTTCACTGCACGCTGCTTTAGGGACTGTGATTTTCCTGAACCACGTCGTGAGCTATCATCCTCTGAATCACTGAAAAGAAAAATTATGTATCAATATCCAAGGACAACACTTATCAGAACAAGAGATTGTATAAACAGAATTAAGTAAAGTGAATAATGGGTTAACTGGTTTGTTCAGTAACTGTAAAACCTATAGAAGTAATGCAGTTTAAAAGATATATTTGAACATGGTCATGTATGTTTTATGGGTTAAAAACCAATTACATCATTACTCAATAAATCAGAACTTCTTTGGTAATGTATTACCTGTATTATATTTAAAATATATTATAATATTATATTTTAAATAGTCCCGCGCCGTAGCCGCGTGGTCTGAGGCATCATGCTTCGGACCGGTGATACGGAATGCGCGCTGGTTTGAGTCTCGGGGAAAGAAATTTCTCATAAGATTTTCGACCAGTGTATGGGACCAGTGCCAACCCAGCATCGTGAGGAAATTGGGGAGCTACAATGGGTAGCGTAATCCAGTCATGGAAACTGGCAATGGCTTATTTTAAATAATAACACATAAAAATATGTTTCATTATATATTGCTCCTTGTAGCAATTCACTGCAAAATGTACCACTCATTGGTAAATATCCATGTTTGCAGTCTTTATAGAAAAGATATTATATACCTACCAGTTTGGGCTGACCTTTGCATGTAACAAGCAGAAACATCACACAGGCAATGGAGCTGTGAGGAAACATATTAGAGACATCACAATGATGGCTTCTACCGATGGGTTTACGTGGTGCCAAAACCCAGAACAATATCATCCCCATCACAATAAAATCCTCAAATGTCACACAGTGATATTCTTTTCCAATTAAGTATTTGAATATTGAAGCCAAACTACATTTACAGAACTGATTACTAGATTGTGTACTGCTTTCCCATTCCTACTTTTTAAATCAAGAAAGATGGTCACGGCAAAAGTCTACACCTTCGACAGACATCACAAGCCTTGCCACTAGAATGATTAATGTAAATAACAACCTACATACCTAGATAAATTAGGAGACTCATTCCTGCCACTTCTACTTGCTTCACCATCTTTCTCATCATCAGCATCTTCACTGTCATCACCTGCATCCCTCACAGCATCACTCTTTGGCGTTTTCTGTTTGCCTGCCTGTTGTACTCCTCCCGGGACAAAGCTGACAGGTACTGAATAGTTATGTTTTCCGCTTTTCCTGCCAGCACCTCGAAAACTTGGCCTTGAGCCACCTCCCGCATCATCTTCATCTCCACTATCATCAGCCCAAATACCTGAAGTATATCATATATCACAAAAACGTTTATAACAAGGTGCCAATTAGAACAACAGTTTGTAGTTACAGCATGGCCAACAAATTCTCCTAAGATGCAAAACCCAAAACAGCAATCTGAAATTTACTGTGGGTTTTACATCCACTGACCTCATAATACTGGTCTCAAAATAATATTCTAACCTGCCCTAATCTGTCACAATGTGGGGTTTATGATTACTATCCAAATTACTAACTAATATAACTTAACAGTAACACGTAAGTCCTCAGCCAAAAGTACCATATAGCAAGTCAGCAAGACAGATGTTCTTCAGATGTTCATGGTATATGCCTCACAAAGTGTAAACAGTAGAAACGCACCAAATATATTTATGTTATAATAATATATCATGGTAAAATAACGCAATAACAATTACTGTCTACAGTGAATACGTAACCTATATAAATACATTCTTGATGAAAATAAGAGTCGCATAACAAAGTGATAACTGCATTTTTGGAGAACAACACTTATTCAATAGACGAATGTTCATCGATTAAAATACATAATGTAATCCTAACCTTCACAGACAGGAAAATGTGCTACCGTACACACTTACCATAAATTTGTTTATTTTTGCTTATTCGGCGACCTGGTCTGTTAATATTGAATTCATTTTCCAAATCATAATCAGTCACTTCAAACTTCTCTACTTCTTCGTCTGACATACTGGACTGTAAAACACAATAACAACTTATACATAAGCTGTGTTTATTCACTGCTAGGAAATACTAAACGTAAAATTCTGGTAGTGACGTCCTGTGGACGAACATGATACCAACCCTCCTGCGAGTAGTATTGAACTTTTCTCTTACATGTAAATATGAATTGAAAAGACGGGATTTTTTTAATCCAACACATATATTAACACACAAGCCAGAGATGAGAAACGCGTAATAACACCAACACCAACTTCAAGAACAAACAAAATAAAAATACATCTCTTATACAAACACTAACACCTAAAAATATTTAATAACTTTCAATTATAATATATTCTTGAATGTAGTAAGAAAGAAGAAAAAAATGTTTCAGTGCTAGTTAAAACAATCTTATATCATGATTTAACTTCATTAGTGCACAGGAAGCACCCGATTAATAGAGAGGTTAGCATCAGGCATGTGAAGGTCATATTTAGGCACTGTGTTCACAGTTTTTTAACAAACAGAACCCTAACCCATTCCTAATGACATGTTCTAGAGCAAAATTGAAAATCATTGGGGTTCCCTAAGCCATATAGTTAGTTAATCCATGCTTAGGTTTATCTATGATCCTTCCTAACCACAAACGATAGCTGTTATTAATCGTAGTCAATAAGAGAGAGGGTGCATCATCTGTGGTTTGAAATTTAATGTTTATTTATAGAGGAGGTAGTAGGTGTGTTAAATACACGAAAAGATGTTATAAGTAATTATACTCGTGCAGGATATCATCGTATTTCAGCAGATGTGCACAGAAGAGTAATATTATCCAAAATTTAATGTTGCGATATGTGAGGTTATGTTCGTTCCTTGACCGAACATAACCTCACATTTTTAGAATAATGCTGCATTTTCGTTACTTGTATAGGGTTGATTAAAAAGAATAAAATGTTTATTTACAGTTACAAGATTAGGTTTTGTTGTCGGTAACAATTAGTTTGGATCAAAAGTGCATTGTGTCTCTTCGTACTTAATATGCCAGATCACAGTACAGATAGACAGTAAACAGATTTTTCAGTTTCTCCAACAGTTTCGTGATTCCTTGAGTATAAGAACACTTTTTTGTTGTCTGAACACAAATCTAATTTATGAGGGCCACTTTGTATGCATTTCATGTGAAGCTGTGCATTAACATTGTAATGTTTACTATATGTACATCATTTCAGCAATGCAGAACATCACTGCCTGGATGAGACATTTAGCAAATTCAAGAATTATTTTAACTAATCTACCAAACTCACTTAATCATTGGGCATATTCACCAGTTTCTGTAGCGAGTATACACACCAGTTTACCTTTGAAAGCATTTCTGAATTCTGCTGA